ATATATATATATATATATATATATATATATATATATGTACATATTACGTTAAGGAAGTCACATCGGAGTAAAATCGTAAAAATTATTAAGAGAAGAGTTACATAGATATCTAAATTATGATTTTTATTGCGTTAAACGGCCCGAAAGATAAAACCTTTTTCCTTGTCCTAAATATTTTCCACGTCAATTAAAATAAAAAATATTATAGTTTAAGACACTAGGGAATTAATAGTTTTAACGAAGTTAAAATATTAGAATAAATACCTAGTAATTTAGATAACGAAAATCAAATATTACTGAGGTAATATCGTACACCGGACGGACTTTAATAATTTGTGGATAATGCTCCACGAAAACTTCCGCCATCATCATCATCGTCGTCGTCGTCGTCGTCGTCGTCATCGTCGTCGTCGTCGTGGTTGTCGTCGTTGGACGAGCTGGGCGTGTTTCCGACGGCGCTTAAGCTCACCGCCGACAGGTGTGGGCTTTACAGGTGTTGGGCCTCCTGGCTGATAAGAAACGCGCCCGTGACGTCAGATTGGCGCGGGTAGAGTATATGAGTCAACGCCGTGGGACGTCCACGTCACTCGTTCTTGAACCTCCTTCGTTCGTTCATTCCGTCAAGTCGTTTGCCGTGAATTTTTTGCCATATCACCGGTCGCGATCGACGCTCTGCATCGTCGTTGGGTCATCCGGAGGTTCACCGGAAACGAGGGGTCTGCCGCAGCGCGGAGGTCGATTCGCGGCTCGATCGGATTTCCGCAGGTAAGCCAGATGGATTCGCGTCCACGATCCGCCGTCGAGATCGATTTAGGAGTCGAATGTCCAGGCGAATGACACCCGGCGACGACCTGGTAATTATTAAAGGGGATGGATAAACGATCGTAAATGTCGAGATACTCGAGACATTTTAATTTTTTCCAAAATTTTTTATCTTTTATGTATTTTTTAGATTTTTGTGTTGTCCGCGGATATCGCACAGAGTTAGTTGTGAAATTAGAATTGATTCGTCAATCGATCAATAAAATCGATCGCATTTTCGGCTTCTACGTGAAATTTTTCGAGTTCACGAAAGATGGTACTCTCCCGTCTCTTCTGAAAAGAAATTTTCTCACTCATTCGTTTGTCTTTTCATGTGTAAATTGGAAGGAACAATTGCACGCTTGGGGCAATACAAAACGTACGCTCCACTTTCGTTACGTAATATACAGTCGCGAGGCCGTCGCTACTCATCAGCCTATGGAGATGATAATTTCGGTATCTACGTGTCAACCCTAATGATATCGAGGTATTTTTCACTGAGACCGAAACTGCTTAATATTCTGCGACAAGTGGAAAGATAATTATCGCATTCTTATTGTCACAGTTAGATATGGATTAAAAAAATTGAAATCAACACAGTTATTTATTTTTTCTTTCGTAAAATAATAAGAGTTAAATTTTCCAAATCCATAGTGTAACGTTACGTCATAAATGTTAAATAGAAATAATTATTCATTTATTTTCAATTTTTTTTTTCATTTTTTCATATATGATGTATAAAATAAAACTATTTTTTTTTCTATCATTTCTAGATACAAGTACTGATGGTATAGCAATAGTGTTAATAGCAAGTAATTAAATCAATTCTCATCGATGGTCTCACAATGGTTAACTTGATTATCGGAATAAAATCAAAAATTTACTGATGGAGGGGATAATAAAAGGGATTTTAATCGATATCAATAATATTGATCATCGAATTATTATAGAATCACTGATTGAAAGTCTGCTAAACCAAAGTGGCACGTTGGTAATATAATTAATTGAATTTATTTCATATTAAAAAGACTTTAGCAACCAAGATCCTGCTTGCCGAGGAAATGCCATGTCTCGAGTTGTAGTTGTTTGTTAGTTAACATGTACTCGGTCTATACCTATATATTGTTCAAAAATTTACAATTGAATATTACCGCTCAACAATCACAAATTAAACTTTGATCTGTTAACGCGTATTTAATACTGTATTTACCGCTTATCTAAAGCTTAATTAAATATAATTTCGTTTTCTATTATGCAATGTTAAAACAAATAAGATGTTAGCTTATTTTTTAATAATACATTATTAATTTTAATATAATAGATATAAATAGATATAAATTAATAATATATTAGTAAAAAATAGGATAACATCTTATTTGCATTGCAATGCTTTTTAGCATTGTAATTTATTTAAAAACAAATAGATATGCTATCTGCATTATAATTTAAAGTACAAAAAAATTATATCAAAATTATATCAAAGCGATCGATAATTAATATATGAAATCAAGAAATAAATAAATGTAGCATGTATTTTGCCATTAAGATGTATCACTAATAATTTAATTGAAAGAATTAAGGAGTAATTCATATTAAATTTATATTAAACATGTTTTTCAAAGTATATACAAATTTCGCGATACTCACAATAAATTACTCTATAAATTATTATATAATATATAGAAAAAATTAAAACTGTGTTCTAATTTTTCAATTATATAACATTTTCAATCATATAAAATCATATAAGATAAAAATATCTTTATTTCTTGCTTGAAAACTATTTTTAGTCTGCTTATTGCATATACACATATATTGCATAGTACGCACAGTACAAATTCATTTATTTCAATTTCTGATATTCGATAGTTGATATTTATTATAATAATTTATATATATTATATTAATTAAATCAATTTTTTTTAATTAAAGAAATTGGAATCAAAATTTTTTAAAATTATAGGTACAATTAAGTCTTTTACAAGATTAATTTGTGTATACATATTTATGTTTACAGTTATAAATTTTGATCAAAATGAGAAATCTATCTTAAAAATTATATTAATAATTTTTTATTTACATCATTTACATTGTTTATAAAATGTGAAATATAAATTATTTTTTCTATGTTTGTTCTATGTTTGTTTATATGTAATATTATATCTCTCCGCTATGTTAAATATAAATTACATATAACAATTAAAACTATAAATGGAGCACAAAACGTTTAATAGATTATATATATTCTCTTTCAAATTTAATTTCTTATAAAAAAGTAGATATCATTAAAAATTTGATAATAAAATCAATTTTTAATACTAGCGTCTCAGTGTAGTACAATAACTTCGCTGATGATAATGATAAAAAAATAATAAATTAAAATAAAAGCTAACAATACTAATTATATAATTGCAAATAATATAAACGCAAATTTTTTTTTAAAAAAAATTTAATGAAAAAGATACATATAAGATAAAAAATATATAAATATTACATTTCTATTTTTTTAAGAAAAATTTTGTTTCAAAATAAAATAATAAGATTGAAGATAATGAATATTATCCCAATAATCTTTAAGAAACAGTTTAATTTCAACTAAGTTATTTATTTATAATTTTTTCTCAATTATTTATAATCATTATGTATTTTATCAATATTACAAAATATTACATCGATAATTTCAACAAAACTATGGAATATTTTTTTATTAAATAAAATCTATGACATATATCAAATTCATATAAATATTTTAAATATTTTATTAATATTTCGTATTATATCTTAATTAATAAATTAATTTTTTTTACACATCTATAAATACAAAATGTCTTTAAGCTGAACAAACGCGACGTAATTTGCATTATCAAGTTATTTCGCTTGTCTTCGCTTTACTTTTTTTATCTCATAGTCGGACGATTTTACAAGAGTCTTTGCAAATCTTCTCAAAAATAATTTGTCAGTGAAGATAAGATTTCGTCGTGAATGTTCGCGTAAACTCGATTAGTTGCATAGAATATTATCACCAATTGGAAATTTCAGCAGTGATCGTATCGTATTATGGAACAATCGCCGCTGAAATTTTCGTCGATCGTTTCGATGATATCGCGTTAAGATAGTAATATCGTCGATCACTCACTTTTTAATTAACACAGATGTCGATTAGACTATGCTTGTTTGTTAATTAACGTTCGGCGATCGTGCGGTTGTGTTCTCAAAGAAGAACATGATACAAATTCACAACGGCGGGACGTTGTCTATTGTAATCAATTAGGAAAAAAAAAAAAAAACATCTCGACCGCGAATGGATTAAAATCAGTTACATAATGCAAGTAAGCTATCGAAGATGTGCAGCCACTTGTAAATTAACGCGGTTGTAATTAATGCAGACTGTTGGCAATTCCAACCGCGAATGTGTGATAAAATGTGAAGTTGCACGCACATTTGTGCATGCGATTTATTAAAATTTACTACTTGGGAATTATTGCCGAGGTTGTCGAGGATTTTTGGTAATACCAAAGTGAGTCGCTTCGTTATCGTCTTATCGCATCGCCCGCTGATAAGGTGCAATCGCGACTCTCAAAGACGATACCTCGTATGTTTCATCGCGCGTTTATCAAGCGATGGAAAACGTGGGTTAACTCTTCCAGTCTGTTAATGATTTATTAACCGATCTCGTGATAATGTAAATATGAAGCTCTTTCTCGAGATGTAATAACGTTCTATCTAGAAAAAAAATATTTTTATATTTAAGGAATTTCATATCTCATATATAAAATATTCATTTATTTGTAATATTTATAAAGTACAAAGTATAAAGACTTATAAAGTCACATTTAGTTTAGTTAGTAATACTTCTTTTTTTATTCTTTTAAAATATTCTTTTACAGAATAGTAAAGTTCTACAATTTATAGCTATTTATAAACTACTTTCGTTATTAAAGAATGTATGTCTCATTAGCAATAATCTTCAGTTAGAAATGATTTTAACTATAAAAATGTCTTAACTATAAAAATTATCGCTATCTGGGTATACTAAAAAAAGCGGGAGCATGTTAGGAGCGTGTTCCACTTTTACGCTTCTGTTCAGATCGATCTAGAGACCCGTTAAAAATGTGAAGAGCAATTTCTAAAAGTCCAAGTCAAATTTCAACACCTTTCGCGCTGCAATCACCAAATCAACGACTGTTTAAGCAGTTGCTTGTAACTGCGGTGAAAATGTCATCTGAGTAAATAGTACGCAGAACGATCTCGCTCCATTGGGAATGTCGTCGCGACATTCGTTTATGTCATACAGGTTTGTACATAGATTAGTTGAAACACGTTAATTAGGGGTGACGCGAAGTTGGCACAACTTTGGAATTTTACAAGCATCGAATATTTGCAAGCAACTATTTTGTAATTTCGTCGGCTAGAAAGAATTAAATTAAACAAATATAAAAATAATATATCATCCTTCTATAGAAATCATAATGTTGCAATATTAATCATTTTATTTTTAAATATTGAAATAGATTCATCAGATAGTTATTGCGAAAGATCAAAATAATATCGGAAACAATCAAAATTAATGAATTAATCAATCATTAATAAATCTATTTATGTCTCTTTGTTAAATCTTTTTCACCTTCAAAGTTCAAAGTGAAAAAAACAACAGATAGAAACGAGTAATATATATATATCTAATTTGGTGATTAATTTTAAGGGGCACCGAACTTGCAATTTTTCGTATCTGCGGTATCGTCGAGTGGCCAAAAGGACGTGCTAATGAGTCGTGGCACGAGCTGGTAGCGGAGCAGTTATGTTTGCGATGCAATCAGATGGCGGCGCGCTAAAGAGGAAGAGGCTCCTCGCACCTTCCTGATAACGAGTCGTGCCGCTAAGTTAGAGCGTACCACGCTTTTGCGTCAGGGGTTGCCTCCTTCCTCGAGTCGAGATCGCGGACCAGTTTGCTAGGAGAACGCTAATATTGGCCAGCGTATTACCAATAAAATAGAAATAATGAATTTCGCAAATGAAAAAAAGAAGATAGAAGAAGAAAAAAAGAAGATTTGCATTTGGTGAATGTAACTTAACGTATGTATGTATGTATATTGTTGATTAATATTAATAAAATTAAAATTAAAAAGTTGCATACCAAAATGATAAAATAATTATCAAATATCTTAATATGTGCAAGAAATTATGGTATATTGATTTTCATAAAAAAAACAAAGTATATAGTGTGATTAAGCTGGAATAATAAGATTAGAAAATTGAAAGTTGAAAAGTAACTTAAATGTTTCTAAAAAATTTTGTAGTTTTTTTATTTCCTGAGAACATTATTTTTGAAAAACATCTGTTGATAATGTACAATGTACATTCAAAATTATATTATGTCCAGAGATAAAAAATACGTGTTAATTATTTTGTAAATAGCAACCTAATGTTAGTTTCATTTTTTATCTTTTATTTTTGTTTAAAATGATTAATATCATAAAGCACGTAAATATTTCTGAATAAATTCATCCATCTTTCTGTATGCCAGCGAGTTAAAATCCTACTGATGAGTTTACCCAGGGTTCTCGTGTTACGACGCCATTGCTGTATTGCACATAATGACTCTCGCGCGATAACGATTATCGCGCAAAATTTATTACTCCTAGTAAACTTCTTTCTTCAAGAAAGTTTTTTTCAGCATATGACTTATACAAAGAGATTTACCGTAAAAGACAGTAGATCATACTTATTTATATCATATATATATTATATATATATATTTTAAATTGTTTGCAATGGCGTATTTTGAGGAAAATTTTGTTTTAAATGGATATGATAGATGTGAAATAATAATACGTTTTCCACTTACAGATACTAAAAGTGAAATGTTACTTAGCTTAATATTAAAATTTATTGATAGCTTCTTACTTATAAATAGACAAAAATTTTAATTTATTTATTATCTATTTATTTATAAATAGACAAGAGTTTGAAGTCTCGCATAAGACTTGCCTAGATCATTATTGTTAATTTTAAATAGATTCCAGGTAAATAAATATTTAATTTCTCAATAAGTTATAAAAAAATTCATTTTGTATTATCAAAAATATCGTTAAAATATTTATAGATAGTTTTAAGATGTTCTTTTTCGATATTTACGAATGAGATTTTCTGAACGCTAGGATCCATATTCTGAAATGTCCCTGAAAGTGGCTTATAAGCTTCCTGATTGGCTATAAATCACTTTTAGAGATACTTCTATCGATAAAGATGATTTCAAAATATTGATCTAGGAATTATAGTATACTGAGTATATTAATATAACTAACAATAAGATATAACATTGATATTTCTCAAGTGTAATATAATTATTTTTATTATCTTTTCATATAATGCACACGTAGAAGTGGAAGAAAATTCAGAAGAGTGAAGCGCTTGCTATGAAGAGAGCTATCCATCGACAGTATGGTAATGATAGACACTGTCATGGAGTTGCTCTCTTTGTGGACGTCGCTTGAGTCAACGCTTCGATGAAATTGACCCTTTGTATCCTTGCAAACACAATCTACAAGGAAGACAGGAGAAAAATACGGTCTAGTATATTTAAATATTTTATTTATATCTTAATCTTTTAAGTAGATATCCACCGATTTATAGGCATATAATTGTTTCTTATATATCTTAAACATTATGGAAACTTTTATGGCATATGTAATATAATATATAAATACAGTAATTCATCTCGTTTTTTCGTAAATGTGTATTTTGTATTTTATTTATAAAATTGACTGACATTAGTATATATAATAGTAATTACATAATAATACCAATCAATAAAATTTTTTCAGAAGTAATATAAAAAATAATTTATTCTTGATTAGAATAACCAATTAAAAATTTTTCTTTGCAAATCTGTAGAAAATACATATGAATTTTTAAATTGGCGCACAATCTAATTTGTAATAAAAATAAATTTGCAATTACAGTGATAAATATAATTAAATACATTTATAAATTAAACAAAACTGCTCGAATATCTTTGCAAACCGCTGTGTATTTTGTAATTATTGTAGCTGTTCTCCTTGACAGCTATAGATCCGCTGCTTTATGATTAAGCGACAAAAATTGCGCGGTCTATGAATCTATTAAAGCCGATCCCTAATCACTTCACGGTCACTTCACGCAGCGAAAATTGCATGGCACTCCACAAAGGGTTAATATGTTACGCATTACCTTATTGCTCCGCTGTGATTCAACATACTCAACATACCTCATACTAGAGCCGTTATTATTAGTTGTACAAATAATGTATCGAAATATGCTACGCTCGATCGATAGCCATAACACTTTCTGCAGGTACAATCACGAACGGTGAACTTCGGGACGACGACCTTATCGCTGATAAAAGCAGCACAAGCATTAATGGTGGAATCGTAAGACGACTCACATTTTATGTGTTTCGTGAATAAGAATAAAATTTTCAGCGCGATTAATCTGACTTTAGCACCAATAATCGAATGGAAAATTTAATAATCAAATAATATAAATTAAATATTAAAAAATTAAAAAAATGTAAAAAAATTAATATAAAAAATTAATTTTGTTGTTCTTTTTCTTTGCTTTTCTTTAGTTTAGTCTACTATGGTAAATTAAAATTTATATTATTATAAATATAATGCATATTTATGATAAAAATATTTATAATGTTTTTATATTTTTTTCCAGACATCCTATCCTATTATCAACAGGATTTTCGGAAAAAACATCTTTTTATCTCCAAATACTTGTAATCTAAAAATTTTAATATTAAAATTTTATAATATTTTTTTAATATTAAAATCTTTTTACCAATTTACAAGAATTCTCAAAACAATATATTTTAAGACTATCAAGAATACTGTAGATAAATTAAATGTCTTAGAACATCGTTGAGCAGATATACTTCAATTTTTGTAGATTTTTAAATTAAGAGATATAACAATTAGAGGATATAACAATTAAGGGATAAACAAAAAATAAATTTTAGCTTCCACTGTTCTACTTGCGATTTATACCATGTACATGAATTTAGTTCTTCTTTTTCTTATTATTCAAATATCTATTGCATTCGTATATGAATGTATATGATATGTGAATGTATGCGAGCGTCTGTAGTATATTGAATTCGGATTTCGCTAAATTCAAATGATACGAATTAAGCATCTCTACTATAGAAAATCAATCTATAGAACTGTAATTATATACCAGCTTCGCCATCTATATAAGTTAACAGAAAGTACAAAGTGAATAATTAACAAAAACACAAATTTGTAATAATTCGAAGAAAAGCATTTCTATTGTCAAATGTTTTAATATTAATCATCACTTATATAATTCTAAAGAAGAAATGACTGTAATTTTATAGAATGTTGCCGATAAATCAGAACACTGTGATTTTCATTGTAAATTGCAAATTTATACATTTGCTTCGTCGACTTACATATAAACTCAATGAAACAATCAGATGTTACACAAAAAGAAGAATATATCTGAAAATTCATATGTTTTTATAAATATTTGGAATAAATTAATAGGGCATATTATTATCTATTCTTATAAATTTATAGATTAGCTGCGGACAGAAGCTTTAATAAATGATAAACCGCAGGAAGAGGAGGATCACCAGGAAAAAATTCCGCGATTGATTTGTTATTATCAATAATTCTATTCGAGGCGTGCCAGATCGTGCCAAATGATTCGCCGTTAAAAGGTCAAAGGTCTCTCGACGTGTCTCTCAACATCTATCAAAGCCAGCGCACCTCTTCAGAAACGGCCTCCTAATAGCGGCTCCTTTAAGAGAGCCTTAAAAAAAGATGCGCGTGCATGCGCTTGGAACGCTCGGAGGCTACGCTCCATTTTTAATTCGCTTCACCAGGAATCCACAGACCGCCGACGCTGGTGACTGTCAGTAGGCCGGCGTCATGTTTGCTATTATTCGACGAGCCACGGGAGAACCGGGCTCAGTCGCGTGATAAACGTGGAGCACCCAGGTAGGTGGGCGCCTGTACAATTATCAAGCTCGATGGATCCTTGTGCGCGCGGAAGAAATCAGCTTTCTTCCTCGAGTCTGTCTAAAGTGTCACGTGATCGAAGGGACATATATCTTCTCAATCGAATTCGTCCAAGCTCAATTGTTTTTCTTCAACGAACATCTTAATTTTTCCTCCTTCTTCTTTAATTTTCGCAAGAAATTTGACACGATGTATATATTCACGTTGTTCGTGTGTGGAAAAAGTGTAATCTCTGTAATGTAATCTATGTAACATATTCGATGTTGCTGTCAGTGCTTCTTGCAAATAGTAGTACAATGTAGCGACAGCTGTAAAGTAATTAATGCGCATGTTACTGTCGTGAGTTGCTACATCGAAGAGGAATTTAAGTTGCTAATTGCACTATATGTGGATCCTTGGATGATCGCCCCCTGAATTCATTGTGCTTAACTTGTGTAACTTGTGTGCTTCTGCTTGAATTAATTTAATATTATTCGTGCATTAAATACGTCTCGATACGCGCGATCTATCTATACACTCGACATCTAATACGGCCACTAGTAGACCGAGATCACCGTTAAATCTCGAACGCTATAGTGCCTATTTCTGCCCCGAATGAAAAGTGTTTCGCACGCGTGGGTGCTTCCCAACATTCGTGAATAGAAAGAGATTTCACCTGCTATCTTCCCGCCGTCTTTCTCGATAAACATGAAAATATTGCTGTTTGCTCAGAAGAAACTTTAGAGCTATCTGGATTTTTTTCTGGCAAAAGACATAAATAATTATTTAATTCAATTTCCACTTAAGATGTTACGAAAAAAGCAAGTTGAAAAGTGTAACAAAATATAATAAAATATAATTTCTCTGTTTTATGAAATTTTATTTAATATAAAAATAGTCTGAAAAAGTTAAAAAATAGAAAGATGATATAATACAGTTACTACAGTTATTAATAAAATTGTACCATTAGACAAATTAAAATTTTAAATGCAATTTAGTAAACGAATTGGCATATAATAATTTTAAGAGAGAAATATATAAATATTGATTTCATTAAATAATTCAGCTTAGCTTCTTTAAAATTAGTATTACTCTCATTAACACAGTAATCTTATTGCAATTATTCAAATGATAGATCGAGTTTTTTATGTTGCTTTTTGCAACATAAAATTATGATCGAATAGCACATAAATGTATGCCTCTGTGATCTATAATTTCGCATTCTGTGGTCTCATGTTTAGCCGCAAACGCGATACGATTCCTACACTGTAACAATATTAAATGCGGTAGCGAGATAAATCAGGTGATCGCACATTTGGTACTAGATAATGAAATGAAAATGGATTTGTGAATTTGTGCAGCAGCGGAGAAACTGGGAAAATGAGTTTGCGCTGGATTCACGAGAATCTAGAAGCACCAACGTGCGACGAGGAGTGCAGCGATATCGATGACAGTTGCAGCGACGACAGCTATGACACGGAATTGTCCCTTCAAGAGGATTACGATGTAACGGAGAATGGAAAAGAGATGGTTCGCGACGGCCGAAAGAAGAGGGAAACTAGAAGAGCTCCAACCTCGACCGTCACCTTTGACGGAAACGGGTATAGTCATTCGGATTTATAATTAAATCGCAAGAGAAATAAATACAAATCAAATAAATCGTGCAATTAAAAAAGATATCTCGATATAAAAAAAAAAATAAATAAATAAATAAAAATAAAAACTTGTCCGCAAAATATAACAAATTGTTAACTACCCTTATACAAATTTAGCACTCAAAATACTTTCCAATTATTATATTTCAGTCAGTATTAAATATTTCTGTAAGAGTTCCTTTTACTTGCATTTTCGTTCACGGACTTTAATAGGATTTCATGAATTTTAATGCTGGCGAAATGTGCAATTCGCATAAATAGACGATTAGCATAATTACTGAAACAGGGTAAAGTATGCCTGTCCTTCACTGGATATACGGCAAATGTGTTTGTCTACCTAGTCGCTCTTCAACACGTACATTACAACGTACATTCATTGATCACTTGACTCGATTAACTTTCTGCTCCATATCGCTGCAGGGTCAACAGATGCACTAGGTGTAGTTTGTGTTATTAACGGTATCAAACGAGCACGGCTGCCGTGCAACGTCGCGACTATAATTCCACGTGTATTGCGCAACGTTATAACGCGACAACGCGATATACGAAATTATGATCGACATTTTAACGAGTTTACCGCGAGATGCGGTGCACACCGTTCGCGATGGAAAAATGGAAATTTGCAAGAATGAAAAAGAGTCACTTTTATCGCGTTTCCATTGTGTCGGAAAAGAAACAATTTTGCGTCACGCGAAAGAGAGTTTTTAGAATCAGCAAAAGTTGCATATCTAAAATAATAATAAACATTAATTCACAATATCTATAGATAATCTGTGGCTTGTTATTTTCCGAGTCATTAAATATCTCGAAAAATTATTTCATAAAATTATGTGTAATTATATTATATAGAAATAAAATAATTTAACGGATGAAGAAATGCTTCAACGGAAAAAAATAAGAGATGCTCTTTTCTTGATATCTTGATCTTGCGAATAAAAATAATAGTCTAATTAAAAGCAGATGCGTGAGAAAAATTATATCAAGTTAATATGCGTTCTTCGTGAAAAATATCGCTTATTATATTTTTTTTTAGAAGAAAAAAAGAAAGAAAAAAATTCGTCGCTTTTAAGCAAAGAGAAAAGTACATAATAAATTAAGGATTTTGATGATTTCCTTTCTATTTTTGTGTGGAAATCAATTTTGTTGGCGCGGAAGATTACTATGAGCACCATTTGTATGCGAAGCCATATAAAATTAACAGCGTTAAAGTATACCTTCTGATGATGACCAAGCTGTTCGCGTAACTTTCGCACAAAGCCTATTGACATTTCGTTTCCTCTTCCCCGAGAATCGGTTTAAAATTAACGAAGTGCGGGAGAGCGCCTACGGTATCGCGTGGTGCGCTTCATTCAGGGAGCTTACTGACCTGGAAAACCGGCCGACCTATATTCCGCAACGTCCATAAAGGCGTGAACACCCTATAGTAGTAGCAAAGATAAAGCCCTAACATCTAACTTAGGCTTAGGAAGTATAATATGCCAAAAGAAATATCAAGAATATGTCAAAATATATGATATCAATATATAATAAAATATTAATTTAAACCATTTCGTTTTCACTAATTGTAATTGAGAATTATTATCGTTCACATTTTTTATCATAGTTCAATTTTCATTTATAAGAAAGATATTTTTTTCCAAAATACTACAAATAGTTATCTCTCATACAATTTTGCTATCATTTGTTAACGGTAAAACTAATTCATTACTTTAATTAATGCTCTTTAATTAATCTGATCTTTATACTTTGATAAATTACCTTTGCTGTAAAAGATAAATAGATTTATTCTCTATTCTTGTCTGCGTTACGTAATATATAACTATATGCAGGCAATCTATGGATCTGATTACAATTGTAGAACACCACGCAACATTGAACGAAACTCCAAATCACGCAAGTACTCGCCTTACATAATATGGGATCCTCGACAACCAGCAAAAAATCCTATCTATAATTGTCGAATAATAAAACTATACTGCCGCACTGGTTATCATTTGGCAATTACACCATCAGGACGAGTTCGAGGATTATCTGGAAATAAGGAATCGCATGGTAGTTTTCATCACTAAATCGTGAAATAAAAGAAACGTGATATGTATATTACATATGTAACGTAACAACAATTTATTAAGGTTATGAACAATATTAAGATTTTTGTTATCAAGATTTATTTATTTTTGCAGCTCTACTTCATGTAACACCAGTCTCTTTTGGTGTTATCCGAATACAAAGCGTTGAAACGAGACTCTATTTGGCATTCAACAAGAAAGGCCGATTATATGGAGAGGTAAGACATGAAAGGAAAATTATAATATAATTAATTATAGGACAATACAATAATTAATTATAGGATGATTAACTACAAGAATATAAGAACACAAGTTAACTCGGCCTGTCCGTAAATTTTATCGTTACAACAAAATTGTTTATGGCTGAGAAAAATATAAAGCCGTTGTGCTATAACCGTTGTACCACTCACATCGCAGAATTTTATATATAGCACTCTATGAAATTCTACGCAGATCCGCGTGAAATTCCCTCAGTGCTTTTATTCGGCCTGATTCTCACAATAATTTTACTGTAAATTTAATTCTGTCAAAAATATCTAGTAATGAATATAATAATTGACATAAATTTATATAATTATTAATATAATATTTATATATTATTATTATTATTATTATTATTATTGATAATTGAAAGGAACATAAAAATTAATAAATAATTAATATTACTTAATCACATTAGTTAATAAATTATCTCTTGCGCAAAATATTGATTAATTCTTTGCAAAATTATTTCTAAATTATTTCTCGCAAATAAATGAGAATTTTTATTATCTAGAGAAATTTGTAGATTTTTAAAGTATTATTATATGTTTGCTAATTATGATAAATTACATGTTAGACTAAATTAAATTGAATCAACTCAATACAGGATTACAAAAAATTAATAACAATTCTATAATGTTAAAAAATTTATTATAAATGTGATTTATTTAATTTCAATTTTAGGTAAATATGATTAATGACAATACCGAATGGGAACAATGGAGCATTGGTTCCTACGATGCATTCCGATCGCGTAAATATGTGCATTATGGATGGTGGATAGGAATAAAGAAAAATGGACGAGCAAAACCAGGACCGAAAACGTCCTGGGGACAAAAAGCGATACAATTTTCGGCCATTCAAGAGGATTAATCAAAAATTTTCAAGACATGTTTTATGAGGCATGCTTCTTACTTCCAGCATTCTATTCGTTGCGTACAAGAACATTGAAACTGAAAAGAAATCCAGGATAATGATAAATGAACGCTTTATGAATAGAAACAATAAATAGAAATAATTGTTTGATAAGGAATAAGGAAAATTATCGGAAGAATTGATAATCATCGAACACAGTAACGTTCCAATAGAATATAATATTTATTATAACGCTGTGTCACTCAACAATGGAATAATTGAGATTGTGCATTCTGCTTGTGCCCTTAAACTGAAACTCGCAGGTTGCAGTTTTTCTCATTTGCAATAAATACATATCTATTATTATCGTCGTTTACAAGCAAGATGATTGCATACATAATTAAATTGTTTCATGGTAAACAAATTTATATGGCCATCTTGCTCACATGTGTACGAACATTAGCTTTTTGTGTAATATGTTATTCATTACAACGTATTGCAATTGTATATAATCTTATCCTTTTTGTACATCTACATACAATGCGTTTATATATCAAGATTTTACAAACAAGAATTTTTATTAAAAAAAAGCAAATAACTCGATATACATACATATATATGTAGCTTTAAATGTTTTAATACTTGGTTTTACAAATGTAAAGTGCGCATTTCGAGCTTCCGAAGATATATATGAAAAGCAAATGTATGAAAGAGAGATGAATTAGTAATTACATGTAACAAATTTATTAATTAAAGTGTACGTTAATAGTGTACGTTAAATAAAAAATTAAAAGATATAATTATTAAATTATTTAAAAATATTTTTACTTAGCCTTATATATTACTTACTTCCGACTTGTACTAGATTGTATTATTTTATCTAGTATAACAAATAAATATCATCGATATTACTATATTAGTTTCATAGAAATAAAGTTCTAAACATTCTTTTAAAAATTAAGCAAATTATATTAAATTATATCTAAAATATATTATATAATTATATAATAATTATATAATTATATAATTATATCTAAAATATATTATATAATTATATATAATTATTAAATTATATCTAAAATAATTAATTTACATAATAAATTTTTTTTCAAAATTTGCGAAGCATTTATGTTTCATAAAAATTGTAAAAAGTATAAAATGGATCTCTTTGGTGCGTACAATCATAATTATAAGCGTGTTTCAAGTTACAGTCACAGTAAATATATTATAAAATCTTATACATATAAAAAAAGTTTGATTATATCTGACTGAAAAAGTAAATTGTTTAATTAGAAAATTATTTTTTTCTCCTAGAAAGTATGTACAAACGAAAATAAATTAAGAGCACAAAATACTAAGAAAGATATTTTTTAAAATTTGATATCTTCTACTAAGCGTAAATTGTAATTATATGCACATGCACATACTTTCTAAAACAATCAGAATTACTTCTCATTGTAACTTATTTATACACAATCTAATTTATTTAATCAATATGATAATTTACTTTTTCTTAGTATTAGGACTTGTTGACTGAAATACACTCGATGCTGACATTAAATTTTCAATATACTGACTTAGAACCTGATTCTCGCTTCTTAACTTAAGATTTTCTTCCTTCACGCTGTCTACTCTCTGTGACAGATCTAAACAAAATATATATATTTACAGAAATTACAATAAATATATTGTTTTTTAATGGGACAACATATATACATACCATCTAATGTATTTTGCAGTTCAAGAACTTGTGCAATCAATCTGGCTTTTTCTTCTTGCTCATCTGGGCTAATGTCTGGATCTAAACCTATGATTAATATAAATTCTTTTGAACCACTTTAATTTAATATTACAATTATATAAAAAAAATGAAAATTCTCTCAAAACGTTATAATTTTTATTTGGACATACAGTAATAGTTGAATATGACTTGATAATAGATACCAAAATTCTGTTTATCTAATATTACTCTATTCAATCTACAAACATACAAAATATTAATATTTTAATATTACTTGAAATATTTACTTGAAAAGACAAACAATGCAGAAGCAATGCAGAAGCAAGTGACAAGAGACATCAAAAGAAATTGATACTAATATCACTTACCGTTAGGACTACAGCTTCCATTAGTAAATGTTGATGGAATGGAATCCATACTACGTCCTCTCCCTAGTGCATCGGACATATGCGAGGCATTGTCCAAAATTTCCTCTTCTGGTATTATCACTATGAATAATGTGTGAGAAGTG